GTTATGAGTTATATATGTGATATTTGGGGTCCTGATTTTACGGTATAATAAATTTTGATTTAATTAATTTCTTAATATAATAAATCTTCAGTATTATACCAATTTTATTATATAAAAAAATAGGTAATTTCTATTTGTATACAAGATGTTTGAACCCAGGTCATGTTGATTATTGCCATTTTGACTAATAGTATAAACTTTAAAATTAGTAAATAAATGGATTTTTGCCTACTCTACAAGTTTACCTAAAGCATCAAAGGTACTTTTGAATGTCAGTTTTGACTTTACCTATGAATAATTGATTTTGCCGATCACTCTTAAAAAAATTTAGGAAATGATCGGTAAAGACAATTTTTCATATATAGGTCAAAAATGGCATTCAAAACCCCATTGATGCCTTAAGTAAACTTGTAGATAGAGCTCTTAATGAGTCGAATTGAGTCGAGTCACGAGTCAAAAACCTTAATTTTAAAGTACTTTTTATTAAGTTAGAATATAATTAAATGAAAGTTTACAATTATGTGAGTCAAAAATGCGAGTTTATGCGAGTCATTTTCGGAGCTCTACTTGTAGAGCAGTCAAAAATACATATATTATATAAAAAAAGTAAAGGGGTGTGATATTAGTGTCATTATATTTCACATGACTTATATTCAAACTATACTTCTCAGTAGAATTAAAAAGTCAATGTCAAAATATTACAGCATAGCCAAAAACAATTACGTCAGTACAAATGTTTATTAATAAAACATATAATTACGGCGAATTACGGCATTTTAATTACGTCTGTCATAATTCAAAAATTCAATTCCGCTGATAAGTATAATTCAAACATCTCATATAAACTTTGAAATTTTCAAAAAAATATTATTGTACTAAAAATTATTAATAAAATACCATATACTATTTAATAAATAAAGTTATAACTAATATATGTAAAATAAGATATTGCTAAATTTCAATTAATTATTATTACTACTAGTAATTGTTACTATTTAATTTTGGCTAAAAATCACAATTTGATTAGAGTTTAAAATATTAGTTTATAATTTTGATTAAAATTAAAAAATAAATTTTAATTTAAATAATAAGTATATTAATAAATAACAAAATTTTGAAATTTTTATTAAAAAAACTTTAGTAAAGTAAAAAAATAAAAAAATAAAAATTTTGAAAAATTATCTAAAAACCAGTTTTTTTAACTTTAGACAAATTTTTTCTTTTTATAAATTTACATATAAAATAACTATTTAATATGTATAATCAATTATTTAATTTAATATTAATCTTATAAAATTTAAAAAATTATATTAGTAAAAATTACTAGTGATGATATTACTTTTTTTTTTTAATATATTTGAAAGTTAAAATCAAATTCTTACTTAAATACATAAATATATGTATTAATAATTAAACTACTTATCATATTATAAAATACTTTATATATATAGTGGGTGAGTCCAATACATAAATTCATATGTATAATATACATATACATATTTTATTTTTTATATGCACAATTTTAAAATTTAATGTACATTATTATGCATAAAATTTCTTAAAGAAAATATTAATAAAATTAATAAAAAATAAAAATGTATATTTTTATATACAAAATTTTTTTGATTATACAAAAAAAATGCTTTATGTATATATATAATTTTTTTCAAATTTTATATATTAATATATACTGTTAATAAATAAAAAATTAGACTTAATAAATAGGGATATATTATTATATTGTACTATATTTTATATTAATACCATATTATTACATAAATTATTTACAAAATTAAAAAATCCAATCCCTTTATAATTCCTATAGGATTTTTTCATTTTTAACAAAATGGCAAATTGATTCAACTTGAGATTATATTTAAATATTACAGAAGTTTATTTAGATTTTTTAAACTTTTTTTACAAATTAAATATAATAATATAATATTTTATTAATGGATAAAATTAATTTTAACTCAATGAATTATACTTTATAATATTTAAATAAATAAAATCTATATAAAATGAAATGAATAATAATACAAATAATTTTTTTTTTAAAAAAAAATATTGATATAAAATGTAAAATTTTAAAAGGATAATTTAATCTAAGTTATTGAATCTAGAAGGCAATTAGTAAAATTCTTTATTAATATATATTAAATTCTTTCTAAAATTACAATATATAACAAGATTTTAGCTGATATTTTAAATTAGTAATTTTTAAAAACTAAAAATACTAATCATAACAACCTTCTTATATGACTGATTTACAAAGCTTAAAAGTTAATTATATTAAACTTTTATATTTAAATAATTAATATTTCAGTATTTTCAATTCTTTAAAAGACGACTAAAGAAAAAATACTGAAATTAAATTAAAAGAAAAGGCATAATACTTTTAAGAAATTTGAAGGTAAAAAAAAGGAAAATTATTAAACTATTTTTATCTTTATTTCTTATACAAAAACTAATAATAAAGAAAATTTACTTCTTAAGTGACCATTTTTATTTCAACTGGTATTTTACTATGAAAAAACCTTTGTAATGCTTTCAACAAAAATAAAAAAACTAATAAAAAAACTTTATAAAGTGCAAGTATTTAAAGTTCAATTACTTCAGAAATATAGTGAAAGTCAAGTTTTACAAAAGTAAAAATACTTTTAATAAAAATCACTTTTTATATATAGTTTCACTAAAACTGGAAATTTAAAATTCAGATAAATTTTAAAAGAATCCTCTTAAAATCTTTAAATTATTAAAAAGCACTTACTATTATTCAGATAAGAAAAACTTAAGCTGGAAAAATGGTTAAGAGATTAGTAAGTAAGAAATGTAGTTGATCTCATATTAAATACTTTGTGTCTAATAATTTTATAATATATTTTTTTGTAAATTAGGTTAATGACAGATATTACCTAATATTCTAGGAGGAGGGGGAATAAGCTCTTATAATAAACTGATATTAGGTAATATCTGTCATTGCCCTTATATTAATTTATTATTATATATTTAATAAATCTTTTAAAAAAAATTTAAATTAAATAATAATTATTAAACCTGAAATTATATTTATAACTTTATAACTGATTTATACTACCATTATTAATATTTTTTTAGTTTTTTGAAATTATTTTAGAATCTAATAATCAGATTTGAATAAACATTTTTTTGCTTTATAGAGCTCATTAATAGGCCAAATTGGACTACCAGATGACAGAATAATTGCAAAAACTAATTATGAATTTTTAAATTTGGTCAAAATTTGCTCTTTTTCTATTAGTAAAATATAAATTTGGTCAAATTTACTCTTTTTTTATTAGTAAAGTAAAATTATAACTTGTCTAAATATATCTGGAATTTTTTTATTAACAAATTTTTTAAAAATATAATAATTTTGTAACAAATTAGTAAATAACTTGTAGGGTTACATTTAATAATTTTTGGTAAATATCTAAATAAATTTTATTTATATAAGATTTTATATAAGAAATCTTTTAATTACTTTTTAAAGGTATTTAACTGTAATCTATATTAACAACAAATCAAAATCAATAATTTTTTAAAACCAAGTAAGGAAATTAATTGAAAATGAAATGAATGTAGGCAAGCAGATTTTTAAAATTAACAAATAAATCAATTCATAAATTCATTTTTTTTTTATTAAGTATTAGTACTATTTGAGGTAAATGCAGCCGATCGCTAATTTATAATATCGTGACACATTTTTTTTTAATATTACACAAACTAAGGTAAAAGTGGATTTGGGAAGACAAAACAAGACGAATTATATACGGTATCTATATTATTTATCTTTAATGTACATTTACAGAATGATTTAAACATTTTTAAGCAGCTTATTTATTAAATATGTAAAAGAAATAAAGTGATATTCAGGTTGAAAGAATTAATACATACTATTATTACTAATAATTTAATAAAAATGTTTTAAATTATTTTTTTATTTGTTATTTTTGATAGTATATACTCGGTATGCTAGAGAATTTCTATTATATGCGAATGCGAAAATAAATTTGACTAATTATTTTTATAAAATTTATTAACCAATTAATAAAAATTTATTTTTACTAACACGATTATGATTGGAACGTTGTTGTCATTACAAAACGAGTATTCAAAAAGAACGGCCCGTGTTTATTTATAATCAGGGTCTCAATCGAGATAAGCGCAAATGTGTAATATAATATGAAAAATTTTTTATTTATGCATTTAATAACGTTTCGTTACTAAAATTATGAACAAAATCGACGCCAAAGTTTACAAATTCAGAAATATTTATGTATGTTAAATTACTCTGCAATTCTCCTGCCTTGTGAATTGGTTGATTACGTTTTACTGAATTGTTTGCAACTACTTACAAACATAAAAAAAAAACGCCCAATTTATTATTACATTACATTGTTACATATTTTTTTTTTTTTTTTTTTTTTTTTTTTTTTTTTTTTTTTGTTTATTATTATTTATTTTTTTTATTATTTTTATTTTTTAGCTTATTAAGTTGTAGGGAGTTAAACAATTGTTATTATTCACGTTTTATACACAAGATACCTGCTTAAAGTTAACACATATTAGTTACAATAAATATTAAGATTTCATTAATTTAAATTTTAAAACAAAGATCTGCAAAGATAAATAAGTTTATTTTCTTTTAAGATTAATTCTATCACGTGAAAATATTTAAACAAGTGTTAATAGTTTGATATAAATTAATATGGTCGTTAAAAAAGAATAATTCTTGTCTTTAATTTTATTTTAATTTTTTTTTATAGTTAAAATTTTTTTTTTTATATACACGAAAGCCAAATTCTTAATAATATTTTTATCTTAAAAAACAATTCTGATATATGTATATACACATAATTATAAGGCAAACCTTAACTGAAGATAGGAAAATAAGTGGAAAAAAAAAAAATCATAGAAAGTAATCATAGCCGGCATGACATAATATCTTACATATAGATGATAGATTTATATTTATGGGATATTTTATATATATATATATATATTTTTTTTTCTTTTTTTTTCTTTTTTTCTTTTTTTTTTGAAATATTTTAATAGAAATAATGATAAGGTAAAAAGTTTTGGTGAGGATCGGAAGATTGTTGATATGGACTAAATTGATGATAATCAGGGATTAAATGATCATAAAGGACCGTATTTGCATGGTCGTGAAATGGTCCATATCCTGTCGGATGTCCTGAAGGAATATTATTTCTTGTATTATAATCGATAGCATTTACATGCGGTAAGTAATAACTAGTTGGCACATTGTCAGCTGATAAGCCATAAGGTATATGAGATACGCGTGAAATCTCTTCCGTTATTTCGGGAGAAGATGTAATTGGAGACGAAACGGCTGTTGAAATTTCAGATCGTGGTTGGGGTAGATGGTTATACTGCGGAATTATTTGTAAACTCGTTAATTGAGTTTGAGTATTTCGAATTTTTTTATTCCGCTTTCGACTCGGAATTTGGTTTGAATATAATTTCAAATGTCGACTCTTCGCTTCAGAGGCAAGTCGTCTATATTCTTGTTTAACGAATTCTGGCTCATTTTTCCATGATGATGATGCCATAGATGATGCTGTGGTCATCGGTAAATAATGGCCTTCATTATGAAGTTCGTCGACAAAAAGTTTTCGATAAATCATAAATGCATTAGGTGATCTAGACGGCATATCCCCATTTTTTTTATGAACGATTAAATCTTTAGAAGTAATGTTTGGGGGAAATTGAGGCTTTACGAGACGAGCATCTTCAATTTCTTGTTGAAGTTGCGTTGAAAAACCTTGAGCGAGAGTCACAGATGTGAAATCACCATCAAAGTCACCAGCTTGTTTGTTTGACATAATAAAAATGTAATTTTTTAATTTAATATTTATTTTTATTTTATTTTTTTTTTTTTACTTATTGTTTTAATAGCACCAGATGAAAGAATAATTGTTTTTGGTGGGTGTAAAGGTATGAACTGTCTCTTATACACATCTAGATGTGTATAAGAGACAGGAAAGATAGTGAGCTAGATTCTTCAACGTTGAAGTAAAAACTCTGGGTTTTTATGTAGATTTTTGAGATAATTTCATTTTTTTTTTTATTTAAGTACCCGAAAACAACTAACTGGTAAGGTAATTTTGTTAAACTGACAAATCGAAATTTTGCATATGGCTTGGACCCAATACGACGGATTTACAAAATTTTTTTGCATCATTTAATAACTTGATACTTATTTGATTTTGTTGTGTAACTTTTACAAGTTAAAAAAAATTATATATTTTTTTTCTTTAGATAATGAAAGAATTGTTGCAATAATTAATTTACGGAATATTTTTCTTTTCTTTTTTTTTTTGCGTCCGAATCTATCATAGATATTTTAAAAATATTTATTTTTAAACAGAAATGTACAACTTATGCATTAAAAAAATAAATAAAATAAAATAACAATATCATAACATATATTGTGTTTTTTTTTTAGGTAAAAATCAAAAAAAAATTCAGTTAAACGCGTCTCCGATTATAATTGATTGGTTAAATTTTTTGTATAACATTAACTTTCATTTATATTTGATGTAAACATAAACACAACTTTAAAATATAAATTGTGTTCCCTTCTAATTAAAAAAAAAGAGTTTGATATTAACCGATAATTGTTTAATCTGGGTTTTTTATTTCAAAATTCCCCACCCCTTCAAAGTGCATACCGCTATTGAACAAATGAAATTATGTAAATTTTTAATTTTTTATTGGGTGAGGAGTAAATAGTAATTATGATCGACATCATACATAATATGCATAATGAAAAAAAAAATAATAATCTCCAATAATTGTGATCCCGATTATGTTGTATATTCGGAAAATAAAGTTCGGATATTATATAAATTTATTTGTCCGTATTTACCGTAAATAAAATCCAAATGAAAAAAAATGATACGAATCGGAAGTTCAGATATTGATTACTATTAGAAAAAAAACATCGGCGGAAAAATAAATTATAAGTTGTTCTTTTTTTTCTTTTAATTTTTTTAATTTTAAGATTTTCCGTCGTCTTTTAAATTTTATCACGTGTTGTCGTTTTCCGAGTTATGAATGGCTCAAAAAAATTTATGCATTGTTTGGAGTCGTCATTTGTATTACTTGTTACTAAATTCTAAATATGCTTATTCGGCGCAGGAATTACGTATCATATGTAAATTTAATCAATTATGAGATAATCTTTTATTTTTTATTTTTATTTTTTTTTTTTTTCTCAGAACAACAAACATACACAATAATACTCCACTTTTTTTTTTTCTCGTTTCATGTTAGAATTACGTATTATTTCGCGTTAAGTTACATGAATCAGCTGCACAAATAAACGAATGCATTACAATATTAAACCCGAATATTGTTGGGCTGAAAATTTAAAGAAGCTTTCCCTACGGTAAAATAGAGGAAAAAAAAAAAAATTTCTTTGTTAGTCTAACGTAATTATTTGTTTTTTATTTACAGATTACGTTTATAAGCCACAACACATAATAGCAAATTATAATACTCATTAAATCATGACATGTGATTCAATGCTCCCTTTTTAACTGTTTTAATTATTTTCTATTTTTAGTTAGCATTTAGAATATCTTTTTTCCGCTAAAATCATATGTGCGTAAAAAAATACGCAAGGAAGAAATACATTTCTTTGATTTCTTGAATTCTCGCCTCCTTTTTTTTGTATAATTTTTAAGACCGCATAATCATAAAATTATGAACCACTTTTATAAACACTTTTGGAATTATTATTATTATTTTTTTTTTTAAAGAACAAAATAAATGAAATTTTAATACTTTTATTCTTTTTCTTTAGAAATTTCAAAGATTTGCAAGATTTTGGCTGATTACGTACATTTCTACCGAAAAAATTTTAAATAATTTAATCAAATTACGAATTAATTATAAAAAAAATGATATATCATCATTCTAATATACAAAATATTTTCTACGGACGGTATGTTTAGCATTTTGCCGACGTAGACGAGAAAAAAATTGAATGAAGAGTCCGTTTCACGTATAAAATTTAAAAAATTATAGTGATAAAGTAGAAAGCTCACGTAAAATATATTTAAATCATTCCTACAAAATAATAACACCTACTAGAAAAAATAAGTTTGCAATATACGTTGACTTATTAGTTATTACCATAAATAAAAATTGATTTAGGTATATGGAAATAGGAAATCTTCTAGGTTAATAGACGGGGGATTTTAAAAAATTTCATTATCATATCTGATATATAGATCAAATTTGAACTCGTACTACATTACATGTATCAACAGAGTGCAAAAGGGTTGGAGTTGGATGTACATGTATGGTTCCTAACATTCTACCCCATTTTATGGTTGATTTGAGAAGCAAAGAAATTTTTTGGAATGGTGAGATTTGAGCTTTTCCCGAATTTTTTTTTTTAAAAAAAAATTTTTGGGGAAAATCAGTTTTTACACGTCACGAACTTTTGATGTTAATCGGTCACGTGATATAATGTTTATGAGGGGTCGAAGTACCGAAAAATAAAAATGCACTCCTTAGGACATAAATAAATAATCGTGCATTTTTAAAAGGGCACCGAGTAAAAATAAGATCATTAGACTGTAAGTCTGAGACTTGAATCATAGTATGCATTTAAGGAGTGGATGCATTTATAGGAGTGCATTTGTTGAAGAGTTGACTGTAACGACGTAATATCACGGTATATTTATTTGTACTTAAGGTATATACAAATTAAAGAAACATTCTTTTTTACACTTTTATGGTTATTTGTGTGACGATTTAAAAAAAAAAGACAATGTATTTTTATTTATTAAGTTTTCTCGTCTCGACATTTGACGTATGTAATGTAAAAGGTGCAGATTTTGCAGATTTGCATTATTAAATGGCTATGCAATGAAAATTGAGATAGGCATTAAAAAGTGTTAAATATGGATAAATATACCGGGAAAAGGAATAAATATAATATATTTTATTCGTTAACCTTCTAATTTGTGTTTTAAAGTAATGATTAATCAGATGTACAGTGCAAACTAATTAATAAACACCAAACACTTAAGGTTTTTATTTGTATTAATGAGTAACACATGACCGGAAATATATTAAGTCTTTAATTTTATTTTTAAATAAAAATGTTAATTTGGAATCACACCAATCGATCTCACTTTTTCAATAATTTCATAACTATGCACTTTGTAATACGTTATACCGCATTTACGCTATTTTAATTTGGAAAATTTTAATAAGATAATAAATGTCTTGGATAAAAAAAGGTCCGTAACCGATATTAAAGTTGAGGGGAAAATCCGGTCTTCTGATTTACTTTACCAGTTCGATATAGGTCACGAGTGCTTTTTATTTAGTACGATTCATTAAAAAAAAGAGTACATGAATGATACCATGAGTCGCACTTCCCAAAAAAGTAATGAACCATATGAACCGATTATTGAATCATAAAGCAATTTGAAGTGTTAGATATTATTGATTTAAATCTTAAAAAATTGATTTTGCTCAATATCTAATTTCGATTCATTACCAGTAGATAAAATGATATCATTCCCCTCCTCTGATGAAAGATATAGCTCATACAATCCCTGATGATCAGTGGGTAGACCTAAATGAAGTAGTTGATGGATTCTTTAAATTTTTTACCAATCCAACATTTCTATTGTTAATTTGAATTAATTAGTTATAGAATAGTTATTCTACGGTTTTCTTTGTATTTTATTCCGGACTTTCCGCAATTGGATATAACTACACTGCAGCTCTTGTTGGATCTGTACACATAAACAAATGCTCCTGTTATAGATGATGATAATTCTGCGGTAGTTGCTTTTTCATACTCCATCGATGAGCATAAAGTTCATTGGATCAGAAGAAACTTTGAAACTAATCAATCGGGATTGAAACTTTAATTATCATCTAACTTCTGCTATCAACTGGAATAATTGGAGATCACCTAGGTAACATCTTGAACTGATACCGATTCACTCTTTGGTTTGTATGATCATAGTGTGAAACCAATATCTACTATTTCTCTAACTTTATTATTGCGAAGGAACGATCAAACTGAATAATATCAGAATTCAATTCTTGATCTGAAACATCTGGAACATCATCATTCCCGCCGGAAGAGCCATTCCATATGCACAATGTTTACTGATATATAATTTGACGATATTGTAATAGTTCATTTCATCATTGATATCTTTCTAATGGCATGATGACATGTCAAAATGGGTATAATTATTTAAACCGTAGAATTTCCGGGAGAAAAACAAGAGGATCTAAAAGTGATTATTTAAATGATTTTATTGAGCAGATTTATGTCAAATAATTTTTGTTTATACTTATAAGTCGATCATATGAGTTACTATTAATTTCTACATCAAGTCACGTAGAAAAGCTATACATTGAGTCTGTTATATAGTATGTGGAAAGTGTAAATAAGTCTATCAATAAAATCCATTATCAAGAAGCTTTAATCAAAAATATAAAACTTAACCGGTTTGATTTTTTTTTTTCATTCTTGAACTATTACAATGTTTGTGACTAGAACTATGAAAACTTACAAAAGTTCCTTAAACAAGTTCTCGCAAAGTAAACCAACTCAACATCTTGCATCTAAAAAAATGGAAGATCATACATGCGATCAAGAAGTATCTACGAATAAGTCTAGACTGTCTAGTGAACTTCCTGTTCCTGATATTATTGATTATAATTTAAACGGTAAACAACAAACTAATATTTATATATATAATTTACGAAATCAAAAAAAAAATTTAAGATCCTTTTATTTTTTTAGTTTTATTTGTAGGTCTCTTTTCCGGAAAGAAAAGCATTAAAGAAAGACATCATTATTCGTCGTCCAATAATCATTTTTACTACGCCTTATATGAAAGTGGTATTTATATTTATTTTTTACACATCATAAAAATTTGATGTATTGGTACTTTATTCATCAACATATATAGGTATGACAAATGGAGACCACTTAACTTACTTGGATGACCAACGTCTTGCACGAGATTATAAAATTGGAATCGTAACTTTAGCTTCGAGACCAGAACATCGTTCAAAGGTATAAAAGGTTTATTCGGAATTAGATCAGATTTTGTAGTTAATACTATTGTTTTTTATACTAGACAAAATTGTCTTTTGAAGAGATTAAACAAGAATTTCCAAACCTTCTTGAAAAGGTCGAAAAGTATCGACCAAAGGTTCTTTGTTTTAATGGAAGAGCCGTGTTTCAGGCTTTTGCAGTTTTTCAAAATGCTCGGATTAGTTCTTCTACAAAAAGGAAGAAGATAGTAAGTGAAGATTGGAGTCAACAACCAAATTTTTCTATTCGGTGGAACGATCGTACAGGTTATACAAAGGTTTTCTACGTAATGTCGACGAGTGGACGCGTTTTTCAACATAAAAGACAAAACAAAACAAAGTATTTTAAAAAATTGAAAGAGCTTATAGGTAATAATAAAGGTATTTAAGGCTTAACTAGAAATCTTTTTTATTAAATAATCGATTATCCCATTTTTACAAACAGACGAAGATAGTAATGAAGAAAGTATAAAATATATTAAAAGAGAAGAACGACATGTTATAGATACCAGAATAAGGGGAGAAGGCATTGATTTGATAAATGCTTGCTTCAAAGAAGAATTTAACAATGAGCAAGATGATTATGAAGAAAATGACGTAGAAGACACCTCGCCTAATAAAAAATGTAGACTTGAACAGGATTATTCTCCACCAAAGTCTTTTGTAGCAAAAAGATGGTAGATTACTGGGAATTATGTGATTATAAAATAACCTTTAACTTGCGATTGGTCGGATATTAAGAATTTAAGCATTATCCTTGAAAAATGTTAGTTTTTAATGATTAATAAAATTAATTACATTATCTTTGCTTATATAATATTTTATATAATGTAAAGGAACCCTTAGCCAAATTATGTGACTTCCCTAAAAAAAGTATCTATTAATTTTTATTGCAAATATCTTAAATATCTTTGAAAACAAAAATAAGCATTGTTTTCATTTTTTTTTTTAGTTTCTTCGATTTCTTCACAAATTATCAGCCGTTTTGTTTTACAGTACACAGTATATTCAGCAGAAAGTTCATCAATAAACCCATTAGTTATTAGATTTCACCAATCGGAACTTTTAGCCTTTGGTTTGTTCCAAACTTCATAATCAATATCTTGGGATTCACGCCAAAGCAAAAAAAATATAAAAAAATATAAAAATTTAAATAATTCAAAAATACTAAAATTAAATATTTTACTAACTTCCATTAATATTCCAATAATTTCTTCAACAATTTAAAAAAGCTTACAATATTCTTTCATTACAATTGATTCGAAATCGTGATAAATATTCGAACACAATCGAATTCTGATCTTGAATGGAAAAACATCAATAAGAACATTTTCTATAAACTCAACATTCCTGGGTAAAACTGATCTGAGAAAGGATGCTATTTCATAAAATTTTGATGGAGGAAATTCTGTGCCAGTTTTTAACCCGAATCGACGACAAAATTCGAAATTCAAATGATTATTTTTACAGTAAAATATACAAAAAAAAAAAATTATAAATTAATAAAATTTTTTAGGGATGTTAGATTGCTCAAGCTGTTCGGTTCAGGTTCCAAACCAACTTGAATCCAGTTCAAACTCATCTATAAAAACTCGGATTTTTAAATCATACGTTTGAAATTATTTTTATATGTGTTACCTTTCTGAATATATCATGACTAATAAAATAGATTCTTGATCAGTGACTGATATAGGTATTAGTATCTCTAGATGTTGAAATCGGTTGAAATTACTCGTGTAAAGTTTGATGAGTCATTTGTATAATTAAATGGTTCGAGCTCAGGTGTATTTTTTTCATTTGCCATGTCTTAATCTTGAAAATATAAAATTATGCTCAAACATGCTCGAAAACTGTTTCAATCTCAAACTCGATGAAACCTGATAACATCCCTAAAATTTCCACCCAAATCAAGAAGAACTTTAACACCCGAATTTGAATGATGTCATTAACAAAAGCACCGAAATTATTATTCCAACTCCATGTATATGATCCAAATTATAAAAAAGGTATATCACGAGACTACGAGACGATGATTGTGTTTAGTTAGGTTCCTACGAAACAAGAGGAGGATTTATAAATTTAACAATGATTTCGTATGACCAAAATCTTAGTGATTTGTCCGTACAAAACTTAATCATTATCATTTTCATATATCATTAATCACTTTTTTTTATAAAAGCCCATCCCATAATTTACCCTGAATTTTTATATATAGCTTACTCGTCAAAACGATAAGCATCATATGAAAATGATTTTTTTTTATGATCATATGAAACAAGGATTTTCAAATCAAATTGATCTAATCATATGATCATTACGTGACGTTAACCATGACAAAGATTGTTACCAATTATTTGAAAGATGGTTATAAACTCATTAAATTATGTTATTAAAACGTCTTTTAACTCGACTAATAATAATCATTTTTTCTAATAAATTTACTATTAAGATCTAATGAATATATTATTATTAAAGGATAAGGGATATTTATTTAACATCAATAATTACGTACTTTCAGAAATAGATAATGGCGTTTTTTATCTACCATGTGATCTAAATTTGTGACGAATATTTCTTCAACTTGTTTAACCAAACTTGTATTTTGTACCGTATAAAAAATCCTAATAAAGCCTAATTTTAACGCAAATCCTTAACCAAAATCTCTAACCCTGATCTTAACCCTAATTATCATTCCTTATGATATTTTAAATATAATATCACACTTTGCTCTTGGTGATATTCTGTATTTAGATCAACATCTTCTTATGATCTAAGCCCTTATAGATCCATCTATAAATGCTTTACATCAAATTACGAAATTAATGGTTAAAAACAATCTTAATAAATATACTGTGTATAAATATACAATAAAATTTTTTTGAATTATGTTCAAAACATACCTCTTAATATGATCTGCTATAATAAAGTGCTTATACTTTAATTTCTATAAATTTATAACTATTTTTATCACCCATTTATATACTACTAGATCAGTAAATAACTAATACATAAATATAATTAATCTACGTAGAAAAATAACCCAATCAGTGATTATGTTGAATTAATATCTCTAAAAAAGTAAGAATTAGAATTGATTAATACATGAGAATATATGAAAACATCATTTAAGTAATATGTTGAACTTTTATTGATTTTTCCAAGAGTTCTTTTACGACAATATAAAATTTTACCTTGTGCAAGCAATTCGAACGCGACTTTATCGCTTCTTCAATCTTCATGATAATAAGAAGCTTTTGTCTTATAAAGAATCTTCGAACGCTATTTGTAATTGAGATAATAATAGAACTTTTTGAACTAAATGAGTATATTTTTCACTGTTGTTTAGAAACGTGAAAAATAGAAAATATTCTTATTCATGGTATTGAATGAAAAAAAAAAAGATGATGAATAATGATATTAGTTAAAAGGTTAGATCAAAAGTCCATCAATAATTAAATTTTCTGTGTATCGTTATAATAGTAATATCTTTTATATAATAAATGATTTAATTAATTGCAGAGAAGGATATAAAGTAGAATATTCGCTGGAATAAACTTATGATATGTTTCATGTGTAACCAATCCCTTTTGGCGTACATGAATAAGATTTAAGTTCGTTTTTTTTTATTCGGTATAACTTTCGTTTCAAATATTACAAATAAAATATCTCCATGAAATATTTTTATTAATGTTTGTTTTTTGTTTTTTTTTTATGTTTGGGATCTTATAAACACGGCGTATTTGTAATTTCACCAATTTCACCGAATTTCAAACTTTTAAAATAATAACAAAATCAGTAGCGCCGCGATAGATATGTATAACGTTCACGATTCGATCCACATTATTATTTATAAATTGGATGCATTTTGCATAAATTAAATTATAACACAACTTAACTTGCAGACTAAGCCAAAGATTTTACACGTTCAATCTAAGAACTTTTTTTAGAGTTTAATGAAATACATAAAATAATATGTGTGCATTATATCAATTTTGTGAAAAAAAAAAAATAATAATTTTTTTTACTCAGGTACAAACAATTTTATGATCATAAATCTTACATAATTATTTTCATCTGATTGCTTGATTTACAAAAAAAGTATTTTGTCTCTTAATTTGCACGATTAAAAATTTTTTTTTTTTTTTTTTTTCNTGATTGCTTGATTTACAAAAAAAGTATTTTGTCTCTTAATTTGCACGATTAAAAATTTTTTTTTTTTTTTTTGTACGATCATAACATAATCAAATGTGTGTAATAATTTGATTGAAAAAAAAAAATGATTTGAAACAATCAGAGAATAAGTTTGTATTAAACGTGATTCTCAGAAGCAAAAAAAAAAAAAAACATGTCAGAATTGTCAGATTCATGCAATAATTGTACAAGAATCTTGATTTTTAATTCGTCATAAATTTTACTCAGATATCCTTTACATAATCAAACCTCGCACGGTCTTGCCTTATCAATTTATCTATTACATAATTCAGCCTGATCATCATGCCCTAATAAAATTATGTTACATAGCACAAATTCGCGTTTTTTTCTGGAAGGCCCCAAAAATTACGAGATATAAACTCTTTAATAAAAAAAAATATCTTAAAGTAAACGCCAGATTTCCATATTTACTTATTGTTAAAAAATATTTATCAAATGACTTATTGTACTTTCATTGTTTTTGTTGATAATCTGCATTTCCGAGAGCTATTCTTTATTTATAGATAAGGTTTTCATTTCTTATGAAGTTACGACCTAAAAAGTCTCAATTCCCAAAATAAGTTTTGCAGTTGTGTTCACATTCTAAATTAGGAACTTAAGTAACGAACCTTTTTTCAATAGCGATTCTAAATCGGGAATTCCTCACATTATTATTTACACATTATTTAATTGGTGACTCAATAAGCTATTTCCCAAAAAAAAAATTTCTATGATCTCATCTTTTTAAAAAGGTTTATTATAATATTTATATTGTGATTTAGTTTATGTGAACTTCGTGCATCAATTAAAATTCTGAAAATCGACGAAAAAAAAAAATTGATTATCAATTGTTGATTGATACGTATTGGTTGCATAATTATTTATTAACGAATTATATATTTTTTATAATTTCCGAAATATTGGTCCGATCTTCAGGTAGTTTGTGTTATAATTTAAGAGAATTGTAATATCACTGAATGAGTTGTAAGTTTTTCCGATAATGAATTAAAACTTTATTGCGCGTTCTTATAAATATAGCGTAAATATAAGGATAGCCTTAAAATTAATTTTAAATTTTTTTATTAATTATTATTTATTAAAAATGAATGACCATATACAATCATTACCAATTAATTCGACATTCCCATTTAAAATTCCCTTTCCTCCTCCCATCGAAGAAAGTGAGCTAAAGCCTAATTTAAAAAAAGGCAAGTTACCAGTAAGAGCCACTAACCAGTTTTTGCTGTACCGGACGGCAGTGATCAAAACATTGCGTGAAAATGGTGTCCAGGACATCAACATGAGGACTATCTCAAAAATGGCATCTCAATTATGGAATCTCGAACCTGCTTTTGTACAGCAAGAGTATAAAAGCTTGGCACTCAAGGCCAAAGGATTACATCAAAAGACGGCTAAAGTATTGACTTCTTTCGATATGAAGGAAACTATATCACAGCGGCCTCTCGCTCCTATGCCGGAATCAACTGAGAGCAATGTTATTGATGATACTTCTTCTACCGACACAAATGAAGTATCAGATATCACACAAGAGTCCCAATATATATCAAATTTTGATATATATAATAATACTTTTTATCAACCTCCGACATATTATCATCCCCTAATACTCCCGCAACAAACATACTATATTCAAGAGGATCCGAATAATTTACCTCTATTTTATTCAGAGAATTGTGAATATCATTTCGGATATTTTCAATAATTATAATTATTATTATTTTTTTTTTTTTTCGTTTACTATCACGTTTCCTGCTAGGTCAAAATTTAAGCGAACAAAATCATTAAAGGAAATTTGAAAAATCGAAACCCTTTTCCTTATTTAGGATTATACGTTGTCTTTTCCATATAAATTATGGGATATTTTAAAATTAGTTGAATACATGGCAGTGTTATGTATATAATTTTGTAATGTTTATTTTTTTTTTTGTAATAAATTTGTATATAATAATGAGGAATTTATACTTAGAATATTATCGTGGCGCAGTTAAAGATGGCTTGTATGAGTTTATCCGCGAGGCTTATACAAAGTATATTATGGCTATGCATTTTAAGTAATTATTTAAGATATTTTTTTTTTATAACGAGATATATTAAATTTTTTTTTCTTTCAAAAAAGAAAGTAATAAATAAAATTATAAACCTTTTTTAACTTTCTCTGAGACAGTGAAAAAAAATAAAAAATAAAATGGTTTCAAAGAAATCCTTATTTGTTTTCAACATTTTAATAATTTTTCTCACAATGTTCGCTTATTATGTGAAAGCATACCCACAACATGCGGGAACCTGTGATGTTACGAAAGTTGATAGTAGTCCTCATGCAGGAAATAATGGTGAAAACATTGTAAAAGGAGATGGAGGATACAAAATTACGACAAAGAAAGAATCAGATAATTATGTTACTACTCTTAATGGACCGGAACCTTTTCAAGGTCTTCTCATTTATGTTGAAGATAAAAATGGTACTCGTTTTGGAGAATTTACTTTAGACAATAAAATGTTACAACATAAGTCATGTGAAGGAATAGGTGAACATAATACTTTAACTCATACTTCAAAGGATCCAAAAAATCTTCCTTTGGATTTGAAATGGAAATCTGATTCTAACTTTGATGAGGCGGTTGTTCGTGCTGTTGTGGTGATTAACTTCAAGCATTGGTTTCACCTTGATGATGTGAAATTTAAATCTTCTTAAATGTCTGTTTCATTAAAAATGAATTAGTTATTATTTTTTTATTTGCTATATAGACTTATTTTTGTATCAATTATTTGAAACATGTTTATTTTTATATAATATTATTAGAATAAATAACAATAGAAAAAATTGGGCAAGATTATACTCATGTCCAAACAAAAATAAAATTTTATTTGTGCTATAAAATTATGAAACGTGTGTTAAAATTTAGTTCCACGATCTATTCTGTATTACGATCTTAAATAAATAATACTAATTAGTATTAATTAATGAATGACTCATGGCTTAAAACAACAAATTTAAAAAATCTTCAAAAATAAATAAATGATTATTTACGTTTTTCTTTTTTTCTTTTTTATTTTTTTTGTTTGTTTTTTTTTTTGTATCATGAAAGTTTAAAAGGTTCCCGCGGATCGTCCGACATTCTTCACATTCTTCATCCGGAAGGATGAACCGTTTTCCCGGATTGCTGAATCTATGAATCTAAGATTTTTATTTCTTGAATGAAAACGAATCGGATAATCTACATGCATATATGTTTGTATAATCTATATTTAAAAAACGAAAGCTATTTAAATTATTGTGATATTGTAATTACTGTAATTATTCTTTCCAAAAATTCCGTCCGATACCGGCAGTGTGGAAGTTTATTTCTAATCCTTCCAATTTCCAATCTTTCCAATTTCCGACCCAGTGGCAAGTGTTATTTATTATGTACAGTTGGAAAGGTTTGGATTTGAAAATTTGAAAATTCCAATGACATGTGCACGTTACCCTTGTCCCGCAACTTAATAGAATTTACTGAATTATCGATATTCTCAAAAGTGCATAATTTAAGAATGTCAATCAATTATAAATATCAATCATAGATACGTGAAAACCCGAAACATCTAGTAGATAAAAAGATCAATATTTTTCTTATCAATATGAAATTATTATCATCTAACCAAGAAAATGTGTACTTAAAAATCCTTATTACGTGAAAATGATGCCATAGTGCATTTTACGCAGGGGCGATATTACAAGAAACCCACTACAGTGATGAGTGAAGTATAATTTATTCACTTAAAAAATTTTAAGTTCAGTCTGAATTATATTCTGGTAATCTGCGGTATTTAAAAAGGTACTCAATTATTACCGGGAAAAGCCTCAGCCGAAAAAAAAGCCAGGATTTACACAATAAAATACCTGTAAAGTGTAAGTTAATCACTGATACAGGACCCGAGCAATATATATTATACAGTAGGTAACAAGAAATGTCTCAACATGTGACCAAAAACAATCTAATCATATGAAAACAAAAATCATTCAAATCATTCCTTACTTTTGTAATATACCATGTAAAAAAAGTCGATCCGTTTTTTATATTCATTTTTTCCGTAAAAGGCTCATATTTCCGGAATTAATAACCTTATATCACGGAATTTATCATTTTCCGTGAATGGATCCGTGAAAGACTCATTTTTACGGAGTTTTTACAGAAATAACGGATAAAATTTTTTTTATAGGGATACAATAATGTTTTCATTTTTTTTCAAATTCTTCACTTAAAATCACTAAAAACATTAAAATGAATGGGCATATATTATATATAACTGTAACGAAATATAAAATGGTTTCAACTGGTTCATTAGTTTGTATAACAATATTTTCCATACGCATTAAAATAAACTGATATAATGTATTCTACACGCATTTTATCATATTTCTTATAAATGATAACGTTCCTTCACTGCACTGATGGAAATTCACTAGTTGTGCTAATTTTATTTAAAAAATTCATATTAAATTTATCTAAAAAAATAAGCAATCATAGCATATGACTTTACAGAAATTCTGCTAAGACATTAGCGAAAAATACCATGTGACTAAGCAAATAATCTTGTTACCTATAGATGATATATTGCTCGGGGTACTATACCTACTGAAATTAATTTAAGAGAACATTGCGTAACTCTTATGTATTTATTTTCCGGAGCGAAGCGAAGGACTATATATGTCTACGCACTATGAAAAATGATCAATGTCCCTCACGTGACGTCAAATAATGAAATCGCAAATTTTAGCGCTCCGGACTTACAACGGTTTCCGCTTCCTAGTTATAGAGCGCTTAAAGATCATGTATTTTATATTTTATTTGTTCTACAATATTATTTAAAAGTCAAAAGGAGGGGGTTTAGAATGCCAATCTAACTAATCTAACTTTTATATACGATCGGCTCGGCGGCTCGCCTTATTACATTTGAATCGTCCCGTGAAATTTAGCCAATCAAGTAGGTTATTGCGGTGATATAGAAACGGCGCAGTGATGAGCATCCAATGATTTGAAATATTATTGGAATTGGAAGAATTGGAAGTCCAAAAGTGCTTCCAATTCTCACTTGATATAAAACTTTATACGTTTCAATGTGCATTGGAACATTGGAAGCTTCCAGTGACTTTTATTGGAATTGGAAATATTATTGGAATTGGAAGATTTGAAAGTCCAAAAGTGCTTCCAATTCTCACTTGATATAAAACTTTATATGTTTCAATGTGCATTGGAACATTGGAAGCTTTCAATGACTTTTTATTGGAATTGGAAATATTATTGGAATTTGAAGAATTGGAAGTCCAAAAGGTGAGCCGTTCAAAATCCCGACAATCAGAATCCCGCTACAACACAAACCCGACGCTCACACCCAACAATCAGAATCCCGCTACAACACAAACCCGACGCTCACACCCGACAATCAGAATCCCGCTACAACACAAACCCGACGCTCACACCCGACAATCAGAATCCCGCTACAACACAAACCCGACGCTCACACCCGACAAATCATAATCCCGAAACTTCAGAATCCCGTAACCACATTATTCCCCAACATTAATCTTAATTTTTTTATAGACGTAATATTTTGTAATAATTTTTAATTTAAAATATCGCAAAATTATAATTTCTATTGTAAAATTACAGCTGATTTCATAATGTACGGGACACTTGGCAAAATTTAAAGAACTCGGAAACATTCGGTAAAAGTTCAAAATAAGATAAAATTATACCACCATTCTCGGAATAGTACTCCAAAATTAGCGTATAAGTTTTATTTTATATCAAGCTTTACCGAATACTTCCGAGTTCTTTAAAATTTGCTAAGTGTCCCGCACATTATGAAATCAGCTGTAATAATTTTTTTAATATTGCAAAAATAGATGTTATTATTATTTTTTTTATTAATATTTAATAATACATCGCAAAAAATTAAGAATCACTTCGCAAATATAAATTTTTGATTATTTTTTTTTTTTAAAAAAAAAGAACTTGCTTTTAAATTCAATAAAAATTTAAATTATTGCGTCATAAAGATAATAATAATTTTTTTATTTTTTCAATATACTGATTAAAGATTTTAATAAATCATTTTTTAGAATTTCTATATTATGTCATTATATTTCAATTGCTAGGAGGATAGTTTCGGAATAATGAATGTCGGGGAATAATGTGGTTACGGGATTCTGAAGTTTCGGGATTATGATTTGTCGGGTGTGAGCGTCGGGTTTGTGTTGTAGCGGGATTATGATTTGTCGGGTGTGAGCATCGGGTTTGTGTTGTAGCGGGATTCTGATTGTCGGGATTTCGTGGTAAATCCGTCCAAAAGTGCTTCCAACTTCCCAACGCCCATCACTATAAGAAATGTTATTAAAGTCGCTTGTCGAAAATTATAAAAAAATAACATTTTTTTGGTTTTAAACTTTTAGTCGAATGACCCAGTTTATTTGAGTAAATGAAATTTAATAAATCAAAAAAATATATTTAATAAAAATACCCTTTCGTCAAAATGGTATTTCGGTAAGGATTTCGAGCATTTCAATCAATACTTTTCAGCAAAGTAAACTTCGGTGATACCATGTAAACATATATTTATATGAAACGTTTAATACTATACATGTTGCCGAAATAATTTTTAATTTCGGACCAATTTCTGCTTTGTGACATAACTCCACAGTTGTAAACGTACTCATCTGAAATTTGTCAGAAGATTTCACTGGATTTCAGAGAGTGTAGAGAAGTTCTTAAATAATTTCTACCTTATTTGTAACAATTTCGGCCAGGCTTGTCTATATTTTGGAAATATAAAGTTAATTAATGGGACGAAGGTAAATAAGCTTAGCCGAAATTGTTGCCAATAAGATCTGAGAATTTCTCTATATTCTCTGGGTTCTAGCAAAAATTTCTGCCAAGTTTCAGTTGGCTACTCTGGAGTTATGCTACAAAGCCGAAATTGTTCAAATTATTTCGGAAACATGTATAGTTTATACGAAAGTTATAAAACTATTCTAAACTAAGAGTTGAAAATAAAAATTCTGTAAGAGTAAATATGTACAAAAGGCCTGGTTTCGAGAACCTTTTAAGAAAATGAACCAGCTATCTAATATCCGATATATATGATGGGAAGACATGGAAAGAATTCCCGTCAAACTTAGAAGTTCTGAATCCTAAACGGTTCTTTTACTTCTAAAATGGCCGATTCCTACTTCCGTCAGTTTGAGTTTTACATATTTAAATTTATTAAATTAAAATATTATAAGTACAATTATGTATTATACCGTGACGTGTTATATGCTTTGGTATATTTGTTGAAATGTCCGTTATGGAATTATGGAAAAGTAATCGTTATAGTCGCACATATTTCATATTAAGATGGAAGGTACAATCATTTTTATTTGCCATAAAATATACTGCAACATTTAAACGCGTTATATAATTACATATTTTGTAATAAGCATGAAAGTATTCTTATATTATATTTGAACATAATAGAATTTTCGTAATTATCTATCATAAAATGTATTTTAAAGATATACATGAATGGAAAAGTTTTTAAAATCAAAATTTATTAAACTAAGAATTGTTTCAAGTACCTTAAAAAATCAGATATATTCCGGGGTTTCTTGTTTTTTTTTTTTTCTCCAATGAAATCATACTTTTGAAACTAATCATAAAAGATATACAATTTTTTTTTTTTTATTTTATCTTAAAAAAAATACCTTAAAATATTTATATAATTAAACGAGTTTGTCTATATTTACGAAATGAAGAAATAGAAAGTATATATAATCTTAAAAAAATTTTTTACTGCATCGTTGCAAAGTAAAAAAAAAATAATAAATATAATCAAATGTAAATAAATAAATAGAAAAGCGAATGACAAAATAGTAAAAGAAAAATAAAATATTAATTATATTCTATAAAATTTATTAAGTTAAATTAGTACATGTATTAAATGATAAATATATATAATTTTGTTTGTGTATTAAAGGAAATAAGTAAGAAATATAATAATAATAAAATATCAAACTCCAAAATAAGAATCTGATTCCATCATAACAGAAAATGGAACGTTCAGATTATTACCGGACAAATCAAATCCTTCCGATGTATTAACGGAATTAACGCTGGAATTTTCCAAACTATTTGATTCATAATTAATATCTTCACGATGACATGAAGTAAAAGTATTTTCGGACTCAGATACAACTCGATTTTGAGGTATATTCCAATTAGATATTCCTTCTTCATATATATTTGCAATTTCAAAATAATCATTGGAAGATAAATTCGAACTCGGAAATTCTAAATTAAACGGAGAATTCATATTTATGGAATGGTCCGAATTAACTTTTTCCGTAGTAGGTTGAAACTGTTCGATGTCTTTTGAAACAAAAATTTCTCGATAATTATCAGGAGAGATGTCCGGGTTCGGATATATTTTCTTTCTAGATAGGTTTATCTCGGAATTAATGGATTTTGAAATTTCAGATGTAATATTATTAATAGAATTTATTGGATTTTGAAGTGTTATATCTGATTGTGATTGTGATAAAGGAGAAAATTTCTTTGATTTAGACGATGAAGATGATGGTATAAGAGGTTTATTATTTGTTGGTTTTGTTTCCTTTGAAGAATCTTCTTGTAAGTAAGATTTTGGTTGAAATGAAACAAGATTCCATTTTTCACGTTTTTTGCGTCGACCGGTTTTCGGGTACATTTCTCTATGATATTTATTTGCTTCTTGCGCTATACGTTTATATTCTGCTTTTACATCGGAAGATTCTTCCTCCCATGATTGTGAAGTCATAGAAGATATAACTGTCATAGGTAAATAATAACCATGAGAACGAGCGGCTTCAACACATAATTTTCTATAAATTATGAATGCATTTGGAGCGCGCGCCATTATTTTACCATTTGAAGATTGTTTTAATATTAAATCTCTTGGATTAATAGTTGGAGGAAAAGGAGGTTTAAAGCATGGATGACTACTACCATTTATAACTTGGTTGGGACATAAAGGATCGCTAGAGTCAATAAAAACGCACGCTCTTTCAGAATTTTGCAAACGCGAAACTTCGTTTTTATCTAGTTTACTCATAGCCGAAATAATTTAATAACAACAAGTCGGATCATTAAAATTTTTCTTTATTGTCATTTATATATTCTATCTCGTTGCACAAAAAACAAGAATTTATGTACAACTAATAGAAAAAAGTGTGCGTTTATTTTATCATGTCGATCCCAATGTACGGATCTTGTTTTCCTATTACATAATTTCTAATATAGGACAATTGAATAATGGCCAACAAAAATAATTTTTTAATTTAAAAATGATTAAAATCACATCACAATTTCCCTATTATTAAGGTCTGCTTGAATAATGAGATTAATGCAGAAGATTTATTATTGTACGTTGTTTTAAAGACAACTCATGTTTTGTTTATAACTAAATCGAGATATTTTACACAGTCTAAAATTTTGAGGTTTCAATTAAATATATTATTTAATTTTTTTTTTTTTAAAATAAAAAAAGAAGTTTAGAATAGAAGATTTTTTTGAAAAAAAAAAGAAAAAAAAATTTTTTATATTGTGCTCTGGCTGGAATGTGTACTACTCTGAATAAACTTATTGATTGAACTCATTATTTATTACACCAATTGAATATAGACGTGTTAATAGATGATTATTTTTGATCTTTTTGCGAGAGGGAAACAAACATAAGTGGTTAGATGCATTTTATTAATAAAATAATAATTAAAAATAAAATCGATTGTTTTCCATTTTGATTAGAAATTTTTTATTATATATATATATATATTTCCCAGTGTAATGTTACATTTCTTCCAAATATGTATTTTAATTAGAAAATTTTTGGAAATTTGATAAAATCGCGTGCATTTCACATCTTTGTTTATTTTTACCGTGATATCCCAAAATTTCGATTCATTTATTATTAATAAAAAAACTTTGTAACCATTGTGATTAATCTCCTGATTTTCTCATTTGCATTCAAATAATGACACAAAATCGTCAAATTTTAATAAAGTTTTAATAATAAAGAAAGAGCGCGCAAAAAACAAAAGTCATATGTTGTTTGTGTAACTTCACCAAGAATCGAATATATTATAACACATCAATGATAACGCGCGAAATATCGTGCTTTTCATCAAAAGTTTCAAAATTGTACTTTGTATTATTTTATATAATTTGAAAATACATAAATTGTATATATTAAAATAATTTGTAATACACCCAGCGGAAAATATTTCTTATAATGATTTACTAATTACCAATTACCTATATACTTTATATGCTGTGCACATATGAAACGTTGTTTATTTTGAACCCTACTGTTATATAAAAAAAAATAATAAATTTATTATGTATGACAGTGTAATAACTTTTTTTCTCTATTGAAAATAGTTTAATTAAAATAACAATGTTTATGTGATATTTGAAAAAAAAAAAAAAATACATGAAACAATTATTGAAACATTATAAACTTTATCTCTTAACTATTTTCGGAAAGCCGCTTTCTATATTATTTTTGATGGTGTGTTACGGAATTTTCTACAAATATTTTTTGTAAAATAATCTTTTTTTGTATTAGTGAATTTTACTTAATTTAAAAAATGCATTTGATCTTTATCAATAGATGATCTATAGAATAAAATATCATTGAAAAACCGTTTTATATTCAAATTTCTTTGTATTTAATCACGTAATTTTTCAGTTTATTATCATTTTATTATAATATTCCGGTATTAAAGTGAGTTGCTGCGCCACTACGCCATTGTAGTTTCTGAGTCACATTATTATTATCACCTGCAAATTTGTAGAAATTAAATACTTCCTACATGGAATTTATAATAATATGATTATTACAAAATTCTTCCCTTGTAGACCCTAAATTAAGGATCGCAACAGTTTTCATTTCCATAAAAAATTATAAAACTTTAAATCATTAATTATTACTTATTGTTATTTACTTGTATTACACACATTATACACATTATGATACTTCAAAAATTCATCCAGACCGCAGATTGCATGAAAAAAAAAACAAAGGTATTAAATAACAATGAGGATAATGATAGGGTATTTATAAATAATTTATAAATATCTTCATACATATAAAATTTTATTCGCTGAATGTAAAATTAATTATGTAAATTGTTATTGAAACAATTTAATATTGTAACATTCAATAACAATCTGTTGTTCTACAATAACGTTTAGAAAAAATTATAATTATATTATTTTTTTTTTTTTTAAATTTAAAAGAATTTCATTACTACTTTTAAAATACGCATATTTTATTAATCAAAAGTGATCATCCTAATTCCTTATTCCTCATGACCAAAATAAGAAATTATCATAAGAACAATGATCTCAAACAACTGTATCCAATTAGGAAGTTTTTAACTTCAAAAATTTTCTTCTAGAATATCATGGATTTCTTGTTATTATAGGTCGGTCATTCCCGAATAGGAACCAAAAAAAGTAATGGATTATTTTAAAACTAAAGGTTTAGTTTGACATAATAAGAAATAATATGACTGATGACTGACTGTATCAATATTATATAGATAACTTTGTTTATACACGCGCTAATTTTTTTTTAGAATTTAATATAATGTATAAAATAATCGTTTGTAATACCAAAAAAAAATTTATTTTATTATAAAAACAGAGAAAATGGGGGTTTTTTTTTTTGACGATCAGGAATTTATGATTTTGATCTCCAAGTTTGTAAAATAATGGGAATAATGTAATATGATGTCATTTTTTTTTTTTTTAGTGATGTAACTTGTCGTGTTTACCTCGCGTTAATAAAACGGTAGTTACAAAAATATAAAACAAATATTAATTGTTTTCCTTGAATATAATAAAATTTAAACATGCGATATTTTTAATTACTTGTGTACTACATTTCAAAAAAATTTTTCGTTCAAAAAGTAAATAATTTTTTTTTAAAAAAAAAAAGTATTTGGTCATTTTAACCAAGTGTATGATCAAAAAATTTACAATCAACTCTAACTAATTATAAATGCACCTCTCCCTTGGGACCATACACGTAATTTTCAAAATAGTGCATTTACCCTATTATTATATGTCGGAGTTTTTGGAATGAAAAACCATTTATAGAAATTTTTACCAGAAATTTTTTTATGGAATTTAAAGAGGGTGTGCATTTATAGAGTAAAAAAGCTTGGGATAGGTACATTTGTGGAAGATATATATATATATATATACAGTGGGTGCATTTCATATAGAGGATGCATTTATAAATAGTTGACTGCATTTGAAGCTGTGCCAACATCCTTCGACTGTTCCCCTAAAGACTTCCACTATGTATTAGTTTTTTTTATATATATATATTATCAATTTGTAATGAGTCTATATACACATTTACGTGTAGCAATTACCCTACATTAATCTACATCATTTATAAATTTAACTTTTTTACACAAAACAATTTTGAACACTCCACCTCTGACAGTATTACAAGTAGCGGCCTTGAAAAATACGGATCATTTTTATTTGATTGATTTCTTCTGGTTACATATCTCCTTATTTTTACTTCAATTTCTAATTCCTTTTGTTCTTTCCCTGCTATCTTCATTAGTCAGTTCATTCTAACGTGAGTCCACCAGTTGGATTTTGTATATCTAGTCTAGATTTGTACTTATATTATGCCAATTTTGTCATAACGAGTCGGTATTTAATGATGTATTCATCTCTTCTTAAGTAAAAAATAAAAAATTTGAAGCTGTGTCATACAATCAGTACGATAACAAAATCTTACTTTTTAAAAATTTATCTTTCAATATTTGTTTATGACCTTGTCTATTAATGCACTGATTAACAAAATATTTATTTTACCGTATAGCGCTGCATAAATTACCCTGGTTCTTATCAAACTGAATTGAGGTAATACCCCGAGATACTATATAAGGAGGGGTGTATAATATACAATAAATAACTTTTGGCAAAATATTAAAAATTAGCACCGGATAACTTTTTCAAGAAATTGGTACCCGATAGGTTGATATTATTTTTTTAAGGGGGATATTATTTCGGGAGAGTACTGCAATAAATGTATGCAGCAGCGCTATATGGTACAAATATAATTTAGTGTTCCATCAAAAATTTATTCTTCCGTTTCAAAATTTTTTTTTTTTTTTTTTTTTTTTTT